ATAGCCTTTAGCTTTTAGTCGAAAGTTGAGGATTTTTGATAGATTCACTCAGACATGTAGCCGTGACACGACGTGTGCGTAGCAATGTCTGGGGAATCGCCCGAGCCACCGACAAAGAACCTTGGGATTGATGACCCTTGGTTTCTAAGTCTGAAGGCCTGGGGACCTAAAACCTATCGAGTCTAGATGCATTAGTGAGCCAATACCTCATGCATCTATGATAGTTTACCTAGGGTAGAGTCTGCCTTACCCTAGTAGGGACACTATTCACGAGGGGAGGGATCCAACCCCTTTTTCCCTTTTATTGCTTTATTTCTTTGTATTGATTTTATTGCTTTATCTCGTTGCTACAATGTGTTATGTGTATTTATCTGGCTGAACTAACTCTTCTTGGTTTTGTCCCCATTGTGAGAACCTTGAATTTTGCAGATAAATACCAATGCATACTTCAATTTCATTTTTATCTAGTAGTCATATTCTTTAATCCCTTCTAGCATTACTTTCACTTGCTTTCAAATATTATTGCATATTTTATTTGCATTTATTATTCTTTAATAAATTTTAGCACCATTTCCTTTTACTTTATTTATTTATCTACTTGCTCTCAAATAAGTGCGTGACCATAATTTTAAGTGAAAAATAATACAATCCCGCTAAGCTAATAAACTACTTGGTCTTGTTATGCTAAAATTAATACTTCGAAGGTAAATTATTTCATTGATTTAACAATTAATTTCTTTAAATCCCGATGGCTAAACTTAAATCGTTAATAACGATTAAATGTTAATAGAAAATTTCACGTTAAGACAAAGTCGATAAATTTTAGATAAAAATAATACAAGTATACTAAATACGCGTGGGACGTAAATAATACGATAATTGAAGCCTTGCAAGATTAGTGTATTAGTAGGAGCTTAATTTATATTCGGGACAGATTTTGGAGTTAAGTAAAATTAAGGAACTCAAGTGGATATTAGGAAGAGATGTGAAAAGACTAAAATACCCTCCATACAATCTTAAAATTTCCATGCAAACCAAACACCCTCTCGGACAACATCATCACCCACCACCCCATCCGGCCAATGCAGCTTCTACCACTTCTACACTCAACACTTCCAATTCCTGCCGGTTCCAATTCCCACTTCACATTCCAGCACCTTCCATCTCTATGCCGACTTATAACCACTAATGCACTCCACTATATCACACACTAGTATATCAACTACCATCCACCACAATATATCCATTTCAATTGCTTTTCAGCCGTGAGTGAGCAAAGCTTCCTTGGCCAACTTTAAAACACAAACATCTCCAATTCCGCCGGATTACATTTCAGTCTCCATTCACACCCCATTTCCCTTCATCCGCGACTTGTTTCCCATTTCAGCAACTCCAACATTCCACAACACCATACCATTTCACTTCATCTCCTGCCTTGGTATCATCAAAGAGAGGAAATCAGAGAGAGAGAGTTGCGGACGGCAATTTCTGGACAGCCGAGAGGAGGGAAACATTTTTTTTGCAGCTAGCCGAGGGTGTTGAGCCAAACTGAGGTAATTTCTGGACCTAGACTAGATGTTTATAGGTTGATGAAGTTGTTTAAGGGCATGCATGTGAGGTTGTGCGGTTGGATGACAAAAGTAAGTAGCAAGAAATCTGGTTGTGAAGAAATTGGAATTGCCGAGAGCTTGAGCTGGAATTTCAGCTTTAACTTGCTAAGTTGTGACGATCTGAGCTTAGTTGTTTGTTTAACTAATGAATAGCTGGACGATTGAGTTTTGCATGAGGTTAATCAACCTTGTTTAAACAAGAAAATTGAGGGAATATGAAATCTGTTTACATGCATGACAACCGAGAGAGAGGTTGGATGAATTTATGGTAAGATGGTAATTTTTTATGGTATTCGAACTTAGTTATGGACCCAATTTGATAGATAGCCTTTCGTTTGGTGTTGCATGTGAACCTTATGGCCAGGAATTCGGTTGCATGGCTGGAAATTTTTACTGGAAGTTGTTGGACTGCTGAATCAATTTTCCAGCTCAGCCGATGGAGTTGTTTTGGGAATTGTATGGGTAGTTTAGCATGAAATCTGCTGGAAAGTGTTTGATTTGCACTTGGTTTGGATCAAGACCTAACAGATAGTTAATTATTTTGATCAAGCATGAAGCTGATATGAGTCGTGGATTTTGATTCCCAGCTTGATCTGTAACTTCACTCTTGGTGAGTGTCCCTGCTTGTTCTATGCTTATTTGGTTAAAGTGCTTTCTTGACTCGATATGTGATAATTTGGAAAAATGATTTCTGATCCATCGAAGTGAGCACTGTGTACTTTATCACACTAGCCGTTCGAGTGGTGACTTGTGTGAAGTGTTTTTCGTAAATATCTTGCTTGCGCTTGCTAAGTACTGAGTAGGGGAATGTACCACACCTGAGGGTGGGAGGGCCTCTTATCCTATCTCAAGTACTAAATCACTAGGCAGGGGAATGTACCACACCTTAAAGGTGGGAGGGCCTCTTATCCTGACCTAGTAACCACGTGTTGGACGTGACGTCGTTGGGTGAATCCCTCGACCAATTCCTGAGGGTATACTCACGTATACTGCTCCCAATTTCTAAGGGTATATCTCGAGTATACTGCTTCCTTAGTCGGTGTTCGGGCCCGGGACAGGGGTATGAATGGTGACGGGTTAGGTAACAAAATAAGAGGATCTACATGGACTATAAGTAGTGAGGGTTGACGGAGGGTCAACTACGATGAATGGTGATCAAGCGAGAAAAATGGCTCCTGAGAGCCCCTGTATCCTACGTTGTGCTGTTATCTGCTTTTATTAAGTGTGAAATTGAAATATTCGTTACTTGCCTTATGTGATTGCATGTTTTGGGGCACCACTGAGTTTTAGCTCACCCCACGTTCATTTGTTTTCCTTACAGGTCTTGAAGTTTGAAAGAATTTGAGCTGCTTATATTTCCTATGAATGTACTTAAACAACTTGAATTTAAATTTCGGTTTGTAACGAATTCTAAGTTAAGTATTGTACCTTTCATTTTGGATTGCCACTTGAAACTGGAAAAGTGTAATCCCTAATTCTAATATTCGGTTTGTATGTTTGTATTGGTATGGCTTTAACCCTAGTGAGTAACGTGTGAAGTGTTTAAGAGCCGTCGTTTGGCTAAGTTGTATGCTGTTATTTTTAAAGTTAATGTGGTGATAGAAAACGATTTATTTCGGAAGAATCTTTGTTGTAATAGCTAGGTTAAATTTCCGGAAGGATTTGGATTAGACTGCTTGCGTGAGTCCTGGCGAGAGTTGGGCAGACAACCCGCCAACCCTTTGGTTCGCCTTAGGGGGAAATGGGGTCGCCACACCCATTGCATTCACAAACCCTAGCAAATAAGAGGTCTGGCATGACCTTCTTTTAGAACCTACCCTTGTAGATAGGCTATTGCACGTTTAAGAAATTTTGGTATATTTTGTTCATAAATTAATAATGTCATATCGTTTTAAGCTTACCCTGGCATATGAAGGGTTCCTTTAGGTCACGTTTCATTTGTGTATTGCATACCTATGTGCTATGTGTTACCGCTTTTTTTTAGGACGTGCATCTAGATATCATGCCTATATGTTATGTGTCTTATGTGATTTATGTGCTTATTTGCTTTGTTATGCTTTATCTGATTTTCTTAGACTATAATAAATGCATGTCGTCACCGCACTAGTTCAACGCTAGTTGTGGTCTCTTTTTTATAATTTCTCGCTAGTCCAACGCTAGTCGAGACCCTTGTTTTGATTTTCCACTAGTCCAATGCTAGTTGGAATTCATAGACATGGGCTAGTCCAACGCTAGGCCCTTAGGAGCCCTTCGCGTGTTAGATCATGATTGTATGATAAAATCACTCCATCTCATGCATGTTTTCACTTTTTAGGGCGTTACCATGTTGCATGACACTTTCTTATATGTGTACATCCTTTACCCCACATTCCTTTCTATTTATATCCCCTATTCCCTAATCTCCCTATTTATATATGCCCCTTTGTATGTTACATAACATTAGACTTGCATTTCATTTTAGATTTAGGATTAGGGTAGTGCATTTGCTTGATTAGACTAGAGATAACCCCTTGAGTATGGGATATGGACGAGTTTGGCTTTTCTAGCCTTAGCACGCTCGTATTCCCTCTCTCAAAAGGAAAATTGAGTTACGAGTATTAGTTTTCCCCGTACCCGATATGATGCATTCCTTTAAAACATGTATATTTCTATAATTATTTTTATTCTTTTCCTTTTCTTTGAGTCTCATATTTGTGCATCATTCGTGACCTCTCCAAAGAGTCATTATTGGGCGTCACAACTAATGTGATTGGCACCACTCAAGTTTTGAAGAGAAATTTTGCCCCCCGATGCCCTCCTAGGTCTAGGGTTTGCATTCATATAGTACATCCAAATATGATAAATATTTTGGTTAAAAATAAGAAAATCCTTGACTAAATCACGCAACTAGCCTTGGCTAGGTCGAAGGGGTGCCTTGGATTTCATCCTTGGCTTCCCCTTCGTCAAATGTGACTCCCGAACCTTTTTCGTTGGTTTACGTAGACTAGGAGTCGTTTAAAAGGGGTTTCTTTTTATCTTTTTCCTTTAAAAAATTCATTTTTGGTGACTTGGTACACCTTAACTCTATACCAAGTGGCGACTCCGATTTTTATTTCAAAAACCCTTTTTAAACTATATTTTGGGTCAAATCGTCGCATTTTCAAGTCCCATTTAGACCCACTTTCTTTGTAGATCAAAAATCATTTTTCAAATAAAAAAATTCACTTTCAAACCATTTTAATTTATTAATTTTTCTTATAAAAATGGATCGCGACATGCTAAATGGAAAACAATAAAGCAAATATCTATCAAATATCAGTACGGATAAAGAATGCTATTGCAGGTATTATAACAACAAAATAATAATTATGGGCAACAAACCTAAAGTCTAATTAACGCTAACGTGCAGTTCTAGTGTTCAGTCAGTTGAAGTATTTCCTCAAACACAACATTTCTAGTCTTGCAATCAACTTTTATGCCATCAAAAGTTCCAGGCACAATAAGGACTTTAAGTGCTGTAGAAGTTTTTACTCTAGATAAAGAAACATATAGTTGTCCGTGAGAAAAAACTGGTTCGCGAAGGTAGATTCCAACATAATCTAGTGTTTGGCTTTGGGATTTGTTGATTGTCAAGGCAAAACAAACACAGACAGGAAACTGTGTCCTTATAAATGGCAGGCCATTCTTCTCGTCATCAGATACTTGCAAAGGACTTTTAGGGAGGAAATTTCTTTTTCCTTAATGCTGGCCAACAGCTATCTCTGCGCAGATAGCATTTTGCCTCAGCTCTCTGCAAATGAGTTGCGTACCATTGCACAATCCTTCTGTAGGGTTTGTGAGGACTCGCAAAATGCTTCTTATTTTCTTAAAAATCCCTTTTATTTTGAATAAATTACTTTATAATAGCTTTACTACTCATTTACCTTCTCCATAGTTGCAATAAATCATAGAATTAAGAGTTTCCCCTTTTCTTTCATCGTTAGGGTAAATTAGGATTTTCACGTATTTTGGTAGTGTAATTAATTGATGAGGTGCGGGTACTAAATTTGGTGATTAAGAGTGAGTTTTAGATAAGAGGAAGTGTGTGATTAGAAGTGCTATTAATAAGTTAGTGAATCATAGGTTAAAACCCTAATACGCGCGAGTTAAGGAAAATAAGCTTGAACGGACGCGCATCGTTTGCTACCGATTGAGTGTACCACTTGAACACTACTTTATTATATTAATCTCCTTGTTATTAATTGAGCAAAATTAGCCCCAAAATATCCTCAAGCTAGCCGAAATTTTGGACCAAGAAAAAGAGAGAAAAGAAAAAAATTGACCACAAATCAAAGTGTGACACTTGTTGACTTTGACCAAACAAATTTCCTATCTTCTTATCTTTCTTCTTGGCTGATTTTTCTTCATTTCTTGCTGGTCTTGGCTGAGAGTGAGAGGAGAGAAAAACAAGTGAGGAAAGCTAGCAACTTCAACCTTGAATCCATCTTGTTTGAGTGAAATCTCAAAACCTAAACCGATTAAATTTATCTTGTGGTGTTTGGCAAGCTTTGTGTGGTAGAAGTTTTGGAAGAAAGGGGTTTGGTTTTCACTTACAAGCAGCTCTTGTAAGGTATAATGATTTCCTTTCTTTTTCTTGTACTTAATCTTGTTAAAATTGGGAGATAAGCTTGTGTTCTTGGTTTCCTATGGTTAATTATTTAGTTTTGTATGATATGGTGGAATGTTTAGCTAGGGTTTAAAAATTTCAGTTGTGATTATTGTTGTTTAGCTAGTATATGATGATGATGAGCTTGGATAAGGACTTGAGGTAGTGATTCAAGGCATGAATGTTAGTTTTAAGCATTAAAACATCAAATTCCAGCAAGTGTAGTAGAATCTGCCTTGTTTCTGCACTGCATATTCGTCCATGATAAAGGCTGAATCAGGTCTTTCTCAAAATATGAAAGTTGTAGAAAATGGAGTTAAATATCTACCTGAAAAATTTCAACTCAAAAGGAGCATTGTAACTTGTGAAATGACTAAATTACCCCTGACTGCCAAAAGCCCTATTTCATAGGCAGTTTTCTGTTTTCTCTGAGATTTCACATTTTGACTTTGAAAATGCACGAAACTGGGTGTTGATGTCTTCATAAGAAATGTAGATTTCTGTCTTAACTTCAAAACGCCATAAAATGTACACTAATCTGATAAGCATAACTTCAGCTGTGACCAAAATGCCGGAAGATGTCAAACCTGTTACGTAGTTATTCTTCTTTAACACTAGTTTCCAGCTTTGGTCTTGATCATTTCATTGCTAGAATTGCCTTGTATTTGGATGACATTGAACCTAGTTGAAGGGCTATTATGTTAAGATTGTTTATGTGTGAATTTGGGCTGAGTTGAGGAAAGAAATGAAGCCTTAAGTGGCTGGAAAATCGCTAAATACAAAAGGCATGCTGCCCAAATTTCTATTACTTGCTTTTATAAATATTAGTAAGATGTAAGGTTTGATTTTAGGGTTAGTTGGATCTTAAATTATATATGTATCCTTGAATGCACTTCAATAATAGTACATGAGTTGTTTTTTACCAAGATTTGGTATCAACTAAGATGAAAAGTGTTCGTTCTATCTCAAAAACTTTGAATTACATTTGCACACTTCAATTTGGGATTGGTTATTCTTAGGGTTTGTCGGTGATCAAGGGCATAATCCGGAAGATAACTTTTGACGTTATTTTGGCTTAGACAGGTGAGTGTTCCTTGTGTGTTTGTACAATAAGTGACTATGTGACTATTTGTGAATGTTTGATTGAATGTTAAATGCTTCTAAGGATTGCTAAATGGATTTTCAATGGGCGAGTGTGTACTATATCGCACTCAACCCAAGCCAAAATGAATTTTCAATGATTGAATGCTACTTGTGCATGAATGTAAGCCTTTTGACTGAATTGGACCCTTGCCCTTCATTGCCAGTCGACTTGAGCCAGAAGCGGACTCGGTCGGGCGCTGGTGACCCTGGGACAGTGTTTTGGTATACTCGAGTATGACCATGAAGGTTGGTGGAGAACTGGCCAGTGAATTGGTTAGTGGCAGGAAATGAAATCAATGAATGAATGTCAATAAACTGGAGGAATTTTCACTTGCAAATATTTTCTAATGTCGGAGGGATAAAGAAAATGATTGGCGAATGAATGAATGAATGGCTCCAAGTGAGCATGTATCTTTCCAATGATTGAGTGTTTATTTTTTGAATGACTGGATATTACTGTACAAAATATGCAAATTGTTAAATGTAACGTTTCCCTGATTTCTTGTTTGGGAACCTCACTGGGATTTTAGCTCATTCCACGCCATTTGTTTTCCTTACAGGGTGTACGAGCTAGCATAGTCTAGTTTTTAAAATTTTGCGATTGTACTCGCTCTAGTCGCTCAATTAGGGTTGAATGTATTGAAAATTTAAAGCTTTGATATATTTGGGATTATATAGATGTTTGAGATAGAAATAAATGTATCTGTATGTTCCAAACTTGGGAACTGTTATTTCCTTTATTCTTGAGGTTGCACTCTATTTTCTTGACGTGAGTGAGTAAGTCCTGGTGAGAGCTAGGCAGGCAGTCTGCTGAACCCCTGGGGTACGCCCTAGGGGGAGCCCTAGGGGGAGGTAGGGTCGTCACAGGGTTCAAGTTTCTTATAAGCATCATTGGACAATTTTCTTTGAGCAGCAGCTTGTGAGGAGGAAGACCTTTTGGATTTTGAGAATTTAAAAAATCTTCATAGTCTCCTTGATGGCGTGGATCAACAGTTCTATCAGAACTGACATAGACATGAAGATTTCCAGGAAATCTTTTGATCATCACGTCATTTATTTCATCAACTGAACTATTTTTTGGAGCAAAGACACATCTATTGATCATACTATAAGGATCTTTTGAATAGGTCATTAAATTTGAAAATACAGATTTGAGCAACCTGTTCGTAAGAAATTTAAGTGAGAATATATAAATGTTCAACTATACAGCAAAGACCTGATAAAAATAGTACTTGGAAGGAAAAATTCCTTAACCCGTTCAAAGATTCTTCTTTTTCAGTATAAGGGATGACCATCTCAGAAGATAAAGTTATTTCACCATGTCTATTAACAGTTTCTCTTCCTTCTCCTATTCTCAATAAGAATTCTGAGAATGCTGGATCTAAGATGGCTCGTATATTCTGTGTCAACTAAAGCTTTTGTAACTTAGACCACAAAGGAGAGTTAGGAAGACTAGATTCTATAAGAACTTGCTTTGTAGCCTATTTGATAACTGGCAAAGTTTGACCAAAATCATCACAAAATACAACTACTTTTCCTCCAAATGGAAGGTCACGGTCCATTATATCTCTAAGCAAATCATCAAAGGCTTCAACAGTTTCTAGTTTGGCCATTGAAGCCTCGTCCCACAAGATTAACCTTGATTGAAGAAGTAATCTTGCAATACTGCCCTGTTTAATAAGCTAGTAGGTTTTATTTCTAGAAAAATCTAATGGTATTTTAAACCTAGAGTGGGCTGTTCTTCCTCCTGGAAGAATAAAGGCTGCGACACCTGACGTTGCAACCACAATAGCAATGTGTCCTTGAGATCTCAAGGTAGCAAGAAGGGACCTATATAAAAAGGTCTTACCAGTTCCTCCAGGGCCATCAATAAAAAAACTTTGGCCAAGAGGAGAGAAAACTGACTGGAGAATTAAATCATAGGCATGTCGTTGTTCAACATTTAACTTGAAAGGCATAAGAAGATCCTCTACTAGAACTTCAATACTTCTCTCACACTCAATTTCCTTTGTTAGCTGATCATAGTGCACAACTGCCGAAGTGTCTGCAGCTAGATGGTAGTCAGCAAAACTTTTACCCATCTGTTCGACCAATTTTTTTAATTTCCTGCAGGACTCTATTTCTGATTTCTTCAGGGGTATAAAAACACAGATGTTGGGATCGATGGTAATCTGCAGAGATATCTAGCTCAAATTTGTCCCAAAGAAATTAAGGATCTGCTAGAGAACAATGAACAAGAATAGTAGCAAATAACAGTCTCAAAGAGGATGGCATTTGGAAAACAACTGCTTCTTCAAGGGTCTCTTGTATATATGTATCTGATTGCAAAAGTCCAAGGGCCAAAACAGCATCTCTAAATCAATTCATTTTTTGGCCATTAATAGTTAACAGGTCATCAAATGATGTAGGTGCTCGAACATGAGTTAGCAAGAGTCTAAGGTAATATCTCTCTCCTTCACGAGGGCTAACTGTGACCAGCCTTTCTCTCAATCCAAACTTTAAATTTAAAAGACCAAACAAAATTTTCTAGAAATTCTCTATAAAAGCACTTCAAGTTCTGAGCCTTTGCATTTGTTTTGTTCATTCTGAAGAACTCAGTCAACATGGTTTTTGAAAAGTCAATTTTCCTCATCAGCTGTAAAAGGTCTTAGTTATTGTTGAAAGTGATAAGCTACTGGCCAGGTAAGTGACCTTGAAGAGTATAAACTGCTGGAGTCATCTCATTTAGCCTGAATTCGAAGATGCGCCAAAAAGCTTTAAGGGGTGAAATCCATCTTCCTTGCTAGAATTCTTTTATTTCATCGACATCAGCACGGGAATCATCAGATATAATTTTAAAACTGATAAGATCATATCCTTTAAAGACATACTTGTATAAATAGTTCACAAGCTTCAAAGTAGAACAGATTTCCACATTCATGTGGCAATCAAACAAGGCTAAAAGATATGGATTATAAGGGATGATCCATGTATTGTCAAGTTCAAACCTGCGGACAGTTACTTTTCTGCCATCATTCATTCTCCTATAGTATGGATAGCTATCTTTGGCATGAGTCGTATGTTCACAGAAGATTTTTGGGTATTGATTTTTACAGGCACCATTTTTCATACAAGGGCTATTCTTGTCCATGTCTCCACAAGGGCCATGAACCATGTGTTTAAGAATAAGAGAGTACAAATGAGGGAACTGCTTAGGATCAGGAAGTTCAGCAAAAACTATTCTATCATATGAGTCAGGATTAAGCAACTTGAATTATGGCTTCAAGATTAATAACAAGTGAGCATGAGGAAAGCCCCGTTTTTTAAATTCAATAACATAAACACATGCAGCAACTTCTCCAAAAATTTGTCTAAAAGTTCAGCCTTGAGCATCTCAAATTTTGCTCTAAATACTCTAGACAAAAGATCTAGCCTATCTTGAGGTTTTTCTTTAAATTGCAGATTATCTTGAATCTCTTTCCACATTGGATTACATGTCATGGTCAGAAATATATCGGGCTTTCCATATTTTTGTACCAATGCCATTGCATCAAGATATCTCTGCTTCATATCTCTTGGACCACCGATAAAAGAAGCCGGTAATATCACCTTGCGACCAACTTTTGAGCCTTCTGTCTGACCAATGGAAACACTATCTAGGACTCCTTCAAGAATTTCTGTCCAAATATCATCTTGCCTTTTACGTTGAAAATCCAGCCTAGATGTTTCAATTTTTACATAGGAATCAATCGAAAATTGTTGTAGCAATCTAAGAGTATGCAATAGCATGGATTCATCATTTTTTCTGATCTGGAACCTATAGCAATAATACTCTCTAGCTGATACAGTATGCTCATCCTTCTTTCCATAGTCAGCAGCTATAGGAAATGAAAAAATTCAACATGTAAACAAAAGTTTATTTCGTAAACGCGAAGTCGATAAATTATAAAAGATAGGAGATGTACTTGCCTCTCTTTTCTAAATCCATAAGTTCAGATGGATCCTGTATAGAAGAAGGATCAATGATAACCTTTTCATCATAGGAATTATCACTTCGTATTTTTTTATAGGCTCGCTTAATTGCATGGTGCCATCCATATTCACCATGAGGAAATAAGAAAGGATACTGCAAAGGATCATAACAAGCATAATAGCTGGACCTTGTAAGCAGTATTTGAGTGGCTATATATGAGAATATGCGCTCGTTTATCGACTGATTCATCATCATTTTCAGTCCATATAACGGCAACTTGAGAAGTAGAAGGAAGGTTATAAATACGCTAATCAAGGCCAGGATAATAGTTCAGCACAACATTATGCTTTTCAAGATGCAAAACATCCTTAGATCCTTAAAGAATCTAGCATAAGGATTATCAAAAAGTATGTCCATCAATAGCTTTAAAGTGCTCTCACGTAGCTTGTCAGAAGCAGCAACTCGCTTGATTAATTCTTCATCGGTATAAAAAAAGTAGAGATGAATTCCACAAGGTCTATTATCGGGCTGTGATAAACTGTTTAGAAAATGATAAACTTGGCCCTAAACACGAAAGGTATACACTCCTCTTGCATTCCTTGTCAATTTCGGATCATACTTTGCAGCAAAGGAAGTGAAAGACAAGTTATTGTTATAAGTACGAGCTAATTTTCTAAAATGTTCACATTCTTCATCAATTCCTATAAATAGATGCTTTAGAGCGTAAGGCATTGGAGGAGCAACAATAGAAATTTCTCCTTGAGAACAGCAAAAGCTAGGGGGTTCCAAATGAAATCTCTTAGCTCCACAATATTAACAATCAGGAGCATCAGGAAACAATAAAGATTCTTTAGGAATTTCATCAATCCTAGAGACATTTGAACGACGGCGTCTAGTAATTGTCCCTGTAGTTCAGGCTATGTAATGGGAACGATACTCTCAAACAAATCTTAAACAAGACTAATATAAAGGGAATATGGGTGAAAAGGTCTGAAATACGACCAGCAAAGAAAGAGCAACCTGATTGCCTCCTTCTTGTCAATATAACATTTGAACGATTCCTTGTAGTAGCTGTAGCACCAACAGCAAGATCAGACGATTTGTTGGTCTCATTCGTGTTGCCCGGCAAACCATTCTATTATTTTAGAAGGAATAACTATTTGTTTTTAAAGCAACAGGACATCTACTATTGCAAATTCTAATCAGCTGGGCATAAGGCACAACATTGTCTTAGAAGAGGCAAATTATATTTTTTAAAAGGCAGAGGCTGAACACGAAAAGGAAGAAAAACAATTAGCAAAATGAATCAAAGATACCTGTAGGTTGAGCAGGACTAAAAGATCGAGGATTGAATGTAATAGAAGAAGACACACCATGCTCGCATAAGCAACCTAAACAAGAAGTATCGGAAGAGCCAAGAAATCCAGAATTTGACCCATCCATAGGTTTAAAGATGCTATTTGTATTTTCAGTATGAGGATGACAGTTTGTTCATTTTCATTAAAGGCTGCAACGGTAACTTGTGAAAGATGAGACACTTCTGTAGACAGACCACTCCGATGCCTCTGCTTAGAACACTAGTCATGAGGTAAAGAATGCGAAGGTAGAAGGGCCTTTTTTTTCTTTTCTGAGAATTGAACAAATTGCACGAAATTTCACTAAACTATTGCGAGATGCCAGTTTTGGTCATTAAACTTTTTTATTAGCCAAAAATATTATTGAACTAGTAAATCTGTACCGTTTTGGTCATTCCGTCTATTTATGCCATTAGGAGAAATGGAAAGTAATTTTTTGAGGGACAATTTTGTCTATTCATGCAGTTTTGGTCAATCTAGCTACTCGTTCTTTTAAGTCAGAAGAAATTGCCACTTCACCCCACCTCTCTCTCTCTCTCATGCACACACACACACTCTGCAGTCTGCAACTGCTGCATTCCTCAGTCATTCCTGTCTCGTGACTTACTTTCCATTTCTCTCCCCTTTCGCCCGCAATACGACAATATCTCCCCTCCATTTTATACACTGGTAAAGTGCATCTTTAACCAATATCCCATAAAAATTTTTTTTTTTGAGAAAACCAATAGCCCATAATTTTCCCACTTTCTACGTGGTATGGCAAGTAGTGAAATATCCCAGGTAGATAATAGATGGTTAGTTGATTGCCCAACTGCCATTTGACCTTTTTCCGTTTCCCGATTCACCTTTTTTTGCTTCTCTGGAATCCTATTTCTCATGTCAAATTAGGAATAAAAAAGGAAGAAAACTATGAAATGCTTTGATTTTACCAATGGGGGAACAAAGGGGGACGATGAGGACATCGACGATGCCGTATTATCTCAAACATCCAAGGTGACGTGGGCACGCTCCTTGAGCATTAGGGGTGGGCAAAAAATCAGATTCGATCCGAAACCCGACTAATCCGATCCGAAAAATAGGATATCCGATCCTATTTTTCTTAGCGGGGCAGATGCGGGTCGAGTACCCGCAAAAACGGATACGGGTACGGATCAGCAAAATAAAAACCCGCGGGTACCCAAGCCGCAGGGTATATTATATACATATTAAAAGAATAAGGGTTCATTATATAATTTTTAATCGTAAGTGTAAGTAAAGTGGTTCACAATATCATATTTTAATCTCATATGATCTGCCTCTCCTCATTTTGTCTAAAAAAAGTGAATATTCTTGGTGAAACCTAAACCAAATAAATAAAACAAAGAAAAATTTGTGAAACTCTATCATAAAAATTGTTCATCCCTTTCATTCTTTTTCATTTTTATTATACTTCCATCGATCTTTCCTGCAAATTTTTCATCAATTCAATCAAAAATTTGTGTTTGGAGCTCCAATTTTCTGTTAGCTAGATAATTAAAACATTTGTGTCTTTCATTTATTTATTTATTTTATTGCAATTGTGGCTCTTAAATTTGTCTCCTTTTTTTTAGTGCAAGAAATTTATTTTTTTTTCATCACCTTTAATGTAACAAGGTCTATTCCAAAGATGTAAGAAAGTTGGAAAAAATTTTTCAAAATTATTTTGGTTATACTTTCTTAAAAAATTATTAGCTCTATTCAATTCTTTTCCGAACTTGATTCCACAATCAACTCATTTTGGATGCAATCTTGTACC